CCCCCTCCCCCTCCCCCACACAGACATACCAGAGCAGGGGCGGCGATCCGGGGGACGGGAGGGACACGTAACCCCCTCAATATTTTAGGGGGGATCGTCCAGCTCGGAAATTTGAAATAGTGCAAAATAAAGAATGTATAGCAAATACTGTTTAAAGACTGCAACACATTTTTAGGCTCTGGAGGGCCCAAGAGTGCAGCGTTTAGACTAATAAAAATGCAAAAAATCTTCTCGCTCGGTCGCTATGTTCCCTGGCTGCCTGGCATAATATACTTCAAAATGGACAAGTTAATGTTGTAGAAAATCTGTATTCCGTTGGAATCACCGTGATACCAACGGAATACAGATTTTCCCTCGCATGTCGTCCCCCCCCCCCCCCGGTCATGAAAAGAAATCGCCGCCCCTGACACACACGATTGTAGTGGCAAATTTATCATTATTGTCAGGAGATTCGTTATTACGAAGACCTTTGAAAGTGTGAGCAAATGGTAAAATATGTTTAGTTTTTTTCTTCTTCCGTCTCGAAATGGTTTCTTATAGTAGGAGGATGCACTACAGACTATAGAGTTTAAAGGGAGTGAAACTCATTCACAGAAATTCCCTGCTCGGTCGAACATTTTGGGCCCTATAACACACTTGGAGGATTTCCAGGCTCTCTCTTTTTTCCCCTTCCTCTTTGTTATTTTTATAATACTCAGGGTAGGAGGGGGAATCCCCTCCCACACCTACCTCTGGGTGCGTGTTTAAAGTCTCTTCCGCCAATATTGCTGTGCATTGCGAATCTCATAAAGATAATTATACGATTCTCTCATCAATATATCGTTACCAGGGGCGCCAACAGGGGACTATAGCCCGATTTCCACATTACTGAAAATCCTTAAAATAAACATTTCATAACATGCAAGAGAAACGAACATTTATTTTAAAACTCGTGAATTTCCATGAACACGAAAAGTCGTGCTAATCATATACCAATCTTGAAGGAATTGGGCTTCTAACTGAGGGCTTTTTACTCCATTTCTGTCTTCAAGCATTTCCGGGATGAATGTCAAAGGTTATTCACTCTCTTGAAAAAGTCCTAGTGACGGGCTTATTTGATATAAATAAAAATAATATATAATAATTTCATAACAATTTGCTATTTAATAACACATACCTTCCCTCGTCGTTATGTTTTGTGCAATATCGTTTATAAATTCATAGTGTAAATTATTTATAACATGGTCTAGTTGTTATGTATCGCTTTGTGTTAACAAAATTTTAAATCTAATCTTCACAACTCATAACTAGAGCTCGACCATGCACGTATGTTGACGGTCAAAATGAACAACGCCATCTCTTGAAGAAACACCGTACCGTTCTTTATCATAGAAAACAGCATTGTCAAACACTCCCGTAGACCATTTCTTGCTTGCTTGTTTGTTTGTTTGTTTATTTGTTTTGTTTTCCTTTTTTCTGTATATTTGTAAAACAAAATTATGACGTTCCTGATTAATAATGTGCATAGATATTTCACTCGGTTAGGTTTAAATGTACGTATTCCACAATGTATTACAGATATTATAGGTACCCATAATTCCAGTATGCATTAAGTGACTTATACAAAATATATGACCATTACCAAACAGCACCAGTGGTTAAAACATAAATGGGAAAATGGAAAACAGCATTCAGTTCGTTACCGAAAACATGTAATTCCACAACCCTCGATCACTCTTTTCTCTCTCTCTCTCTCTCTTTCTCTCTCTCTCTCTCTCTCTCTCTCTTTCTTTACACAGAGTTTCCTTCTATCCCTTTTCCTGGACCTATATGAAAAGAACAGAGCCTTAAATTAAGGGCTCTAACTATAGAGCAATCCAGCCGTTGAAAAAACGTGGCATTCGGGGGCCCCGTCTTATAATAGTTACGATCGATCCAAATCAATCATAAGTCCTCCAATCAATCGCAAGTTTGCAGTCTCATATCTCTTATGTACATAGTTGCAATTGATATCAACCGCAAATAAGTTTCGATTGATATCAACTCTTTATAAGACAAGGCCCAGGACATCTCTATCCAGAGTCATAATTGAAACAGTTATTTATAAAATATTCGTTTTCTTTATGCTCATATAAATATTTAGACTATGTTTTTATACTGAAAACCAAACCAAACCTTTGTAACAGTCTTTATATCATGTCATGCAATGTAAACACAGAATACCCCCTCCCGAGCCTGAAATGCATTATACAGCAAATGCAAGGGCGTAGCCAGGATTTGTTAAGGGGAGGTATTTTTTGCCCAATTCGTGAGAAAATATTTAGCGGCGAATCAGTCAGTCGGTGGCTAAGTGGGGGGGGGGGGGGGGGGGGGTGGGGGGGGGGGGGGTAAGCACTAATTTTATTTGGGCTCAACGGGGGGAGGGGAACAGGAACAGGAACACTCCTTTTTCCCCTCAACATCCACCCCACTCCCCTTGAGCACCTAAAATATCCCCTGTTTGCCAAGGTGGGGTATTTGAACACCCAAAACACCCCTCTCGCTACGCCGATGAGCAAATGACATTCCCAACAATACAAATAGATACAATATCACCAGCTTAAGCTTCAACATATATATTTCATAATTTATTGGTAATGGTAATGGTAATGGTAATGGTTTTATTAAAAATTCATTTGCAGCCAGATGGTTGAATTGCAGATCTTTGTACATTGTAAAAACATAAATATTTATACAAACATAAAACGTATTAAGACATATCACGCAGTGAATGAATTAAAAAATCAGTGTACACACATATATATATATATATATATATATATATATATATATATATATATATATATATATACACAAATTAATGCAATTCATAAAATTCGCTTAACATTCTATTCCACAATCATCAAAGGGCTGAAGAGAAATATAGAAGACAGGTAGGGAGGGTAATAGTGCAGACAGCAAGGGAGACCGAGGAAAAGTGTGAGATAGAGACAGGCGGAGAGGGAGAGAAAGAGAGAAAGGGAGAGAGTGAGAGAGAACGAGAGACAAAGCGAGATATATATATATATATATATTAAAGATAATGCTGAGGATGAGATTGTATATCAGACATATCGAAAATAAGGTAAAAAGTACAATTTCGACAGAGAGAATACTGGTTGTAAAAATTAATAAATTACATTTTACATTTTCATTGGTGAGTTATGGATAACATATTGTAAATTGATTGATCTGTAGGTATGCAATCAGATGTGAGACATGAAATATGGTAATTTTGAGATTTTTCTTGTAATAAATATGTGGCAAGTATGTTTCAATCATTACATAAGTTAAAAATGATAATCTTGATTTACCGTATTATATTATCATTTTCATTAATCAATTATTAAGATTGTACAATCGTCTTAATTACAAAATTATATACTATTTCACATAAAATAAAATCATTATACAGCACCTCTACCTCATCACTATGGGGATAAGTTTACATGTTACACAAAATAATGTGGACAAAGTGCATGATCACTACTGTGAATTTAGCAAGTCAATAAGGTAGGGAACTGGACTGTTACAAAATTGTTTGGTTTTACATTTTAACTGTTCTCTGGTATTTGATTTGTGTAGGCTTCTAATGTTCTTACAAGGAGGTATGAGGTAAGATACCTTCTCGTTTGATATCAGTTTCTCTGCAAAACTCAAACACAGTTCCTTCCTTCTGTCAGCCAAAGAAGACAGATTCATTAGATTCAGTGCTGTCTCATATGACTGGTAATTAGGTCCCAAGATTATTTTCAGAGTTCTTTTCTGCACCCTTTCTAGTCGGTCTACCTATTTAGTAAGCAAACTCAAGTATGTCACAAGTGACCAAACAGTGCAGTGCTATGCTGTATACCAGCTAATAAAGAATAAAATGGAAAACAATATTCAGTATTCAGTCAGTTACCTAACACCCCATATTTAGATTACATTGAACCGAGGAGTTATTGATTGAACGTACCGTAACATAATATCGTAATAGGGGGCTCTATTGGTAAGCAGTTTGTTAATGTACTGAAGAAACAACCCTGTAAAAAGAACACAGAATAAATAAATGAACAAATAAACAACAAAATAAATTAATAAAGAATGAAATAAATTAACATTTAAAAGAATGTTTTTTCGACATCAACCAAACATTCCTTAAATATACGAAATGGCGTCCTTGAATATCCTTGCATCATTAAGCTGTAACTATACGGGGTTGATTAGGGCATAGCAAGTGGCGGATAGATTTTTTGTTTTAAAATAGAAAGACAGAGGGGAAGGGTAGGGAGAAGTAATGATAAAATGTGCATCCTCATACCACCTCCCCTCCTCAATGGCGATATTTCGTTGAGTTAGACGGGTGTCCTTTTGAACAACAGATTATAACGACTTTACAATAATATATGGCATCTTAAAAAGCCTGTTATTTAAAATGATAGGAGAGTCATTTGAGACTTTATGGATTATTCGGTGAACATCTCACACTATGTTGAACAAAGAATAATATTTTTTATGATTAAATCTCGCATATGAAACTTATTATTAATTATTATGAAATATATATATATATATATATATATATATATATATATATTTTTGTTGTTGCGGGGGGCAGATCAGAATGTATGAGAATGAAAAATTATACAATTTTTGCTTTCAATTTGTTTCCTTAACGATACCATTGAATCAACTTGTTATTGATTGATTGGCGACAATACACCAGTTTACAGTTGTATCAGTGCGCATGCGCAGACAGTTGACCTCGGGTCATTGGCCCCAAAATTGGGGCCAATAACCTCTGACCTCTGGTATTTATGCGTAAATTAAAATTGCGCCCATGCAAATGATGATGTGCGCGCACAACGCAGCGCGCAGGCAGTGATGTCATCATTATTTGCATGGGCGCAATCTTAATTTACGCATAAATACATGACTCCTAGGTCATTAGCTTTGTTTAAAATGGCGCACACAACTGTAAACTGGTGTATAGTCAAATCACTGACTAATCGCCAATAACTCAAAACACAACAACAACAACTTGTTATTGATCGTGTTGCCGCGCCGGTAAATTGTAAGTCTGTCATTTTTCTTCTTATAAAATCAGATTTAAACATAGATGTGTGAGATAAACTTTGTTTTGATGAATTGGAACAATATCAAGCCAATCTGATGTAATTTAGATCGATACTTATATCCTTGAATGACCACACAGACGTTACATGTTTGAGTCATCAACCAACCGGGCCGGGCCGGGCGACCGAATGGCGACGACGCAACGGGTCCTTTCCAACCCTCTTCCGCGGGGGAAGGGGGCTGCGCAACATGGACGTGAGGCTAGGCCCACGACCGTGCGGCCACCAATCCTGGCTGTGTATTAAAACCTGTTCTATTGATTCTCAACATTTCAAACACCACTGTGACTGTACAAAACTCAACTGATTTCACTAAAAATCGGTACTTTAGTGACAATTGATGACACCTAAATAGCAGTAAAATACAATTTTTTCAGCTTGCCCTGCCTACAGATGTTAGATTTAGAAAGAATAGTTGGAAAATTCAAATTGTAAGTCTTTTGACTGTTTTGTCAAAGTCAAACTTGCCGATAAGCCACTTTGTATTCATTGTGTGCAGTCTTTTGACTGTTTTGTCAAAGTCAAACTTGCTGATCAGCCACTTTGTATTCATTGTGTGCAGTCTTTTGACTGTTTTGTCAAATTCAAACTTGCTGATCAGCCACTTTGTATTCATTGTGTGCAAGTGTGTGTATTGTGTGTAATTGATGCCCTCTCAGCACGTTGTACAGCGCTAATAGAGGTCAATATGCATTACTCATTGACATTAGCATTGACTCAATTAAGCCGAGTCAAACCGTTTAACCAATGGTTAAACGACCGCATTCATCAAAACCGTTTAGCATTTCTTGCTCAGTTTAACCATTATTAGATAATCAAAGAAACCGCTGTGTAATATTACACCTGGCAGCTGTCTGGCAGCATTAATCTCTATCTATGGATAAATTTGTAACCATAATCTCACCCTGTCTATTTACCTTCTCTCTGTGGTAATCGCTCATGTAACTTTTCTTATTGCTGAACTTTTCAGACAAAAGCTGCATTTAATATGCTGCAAGCAAAGTTCTAAATATTTACACATTCGATGGTTTCGTCTCAGTCAGTTCCTCTCACCTCCCTTCTCCCTGAGTCTCTCTCTCTCTCTCTCTCAATATTAATATCAATGTTAATATCGATCCCTTGCCGACTCGGCCCCCCCTAAAATAATAAAATAGAAAAATGATGATAACAATAATAAATTTAATTTTTATAAATATTAATGAACAAAATCAAAAAAGTCTTGGACATTGTGAGTAATTTAAGTTTTTGATGATTCTTCAATTGAGCTGACTTAACAAAGCCACCCTTTCTATCTCACTTGTCTTACTTCTTCACTCTCTCCATGGTCCATGCTCTCTCTGTCACACATACACACAATCCACCTCAAACATCGGCGCCCATGGTTTCACATGGCTTCTTGACCTCCCACTGAGCTGGGTGCTTGCAGGTGCGGTCAACAAACTGTAATTTATGCTGGTATCAAACTCCACCTACATAACTAGAGAAACTTCCTGATTGGTCACTAACATTGATCAGCTCATTGCTGGGTGTGTCATGGATGTGTGCGTTACACACATCCACATTGATACAGCAATGATACACGCCTTTGCATCACATTGCAAAGGCATATTTAAACATGTCACAGATCAGATTAGGTTTATTATGATATCAGATGAGGAATAATAACACATTTTGATGTTTTTTGTTACCGGTCTCTGTTTACCAGGTTGACCCAATTTGTGCCATATAGTCAGGCTCGGAATGCTCAGCCCAGCAGTCTGTAGACTGGCAGGCGTTCCAAGCTACAACACTATTACAAATATGTGTATATTCATAACGGTTAAATGAAACAGCCTGTATAAAGTTAACGGCTAAATGTTTAGCAAAAAAAACGTAATGACTCAGGTCTAGTACTACTACTAATTTCATTTTTGACTTACAATGCTTTTCGACTCCTCTGGGCATCGTTCCAACAACTTCTTTGAAGAAGTCTTTGATAAGAAAAATGGTGATTCTTCGTCCTAACCCAACGATTCATCCATGTTATATCGTCGATTAAACATAGCGAAGAGAACATATGAATGTTCATATTATAGAGCACAGTTCACTCGAAATTGCTGAATACCACTAGGCATGAATCGAAGAGACAGAGCATGAAGAACTTTCTGCATTGAGCGCTGTGCACATAGTTTACGATCTTTCTCTCAGCCAATGGCAGACTTGCTCGAGCAGCTTTAAATTTGAGTGAGAGAGGGCCTACTTAAGTGCATTGGCAATGTCAATACGTAATATTACATAGCACACTGGGTCATTCCATGTCAAATCACCCAATGGTTTTAACCCGACCATTTTTTATTTTGATGAAACTTAGTGTACTTGTTGAGTGTGATCTCACAGCACCAAATCCCAAATTTTAGGTCAATTGGGTGAGGGGTTTGGGAGATACGGCCAACCAAATTTTGAGATTTTTTCAAAAATGGGGGTGGCGGGCCTACCTTTGAACCCTTGTATTTCGGGACCTAATGGGTCAATCTTCACAAAATTTGTATTATTGGAAAGGGTATTCAATAAGGATTCCAAATCTGCAGCCATTTTGAAAATTCGTACATGTTGGGGTACTTTGACCTCTTGACCTAAGATTTGACCTTAAAATTGACCTTGTGGATCACGTAACCTTGACAACATTTTTCATGAAATGCAATCTCTGACATGTTTACTAAAACATATAAAAGTTTCAGAGATATAATATTTTTTGTTTAGGAGCAATAAGGATTGAAAGTATCCGTACTTACAGATATTCACAATAACCCCTATTATAATGTATACAATACATGCAATATGCACAGTACAACATACATGTACATCTTCCACATGCTTTTTTGTTCTAGGCATATCCATTCTAAGTTCATATAGGCCTAAAGGGTTAACAGGATATATGGCTTTAGGCCTATGGGTCAGTTCTAGGATAATTACCCCCTGGAAAATTAACCCCATGAGGAAATGTCCCCTCCCCCCCCCCCCGAGGAAAATTACCCCCGAGGACTATCACACCCAGAGGACAATTACCCCCAGAAAATTACCTTCTAGCACAATCTGTCCCCCCCCCCCTCCCGAGGACAATTAACCCTCGGACAATTATACCCTAAGACAATTACCCCCCGGATAATTACCCCCTAGGACAATTACCCCCCCCCCCTATTCTCTAAAAGGGAAGTCCATCCTGATAATAAGTTGGTTTTAATCAAAGCAGATTTTTTTGGGGGGAGGTAATTATCCTTGGGAGGTAATTTTCCAGGGGGAGGGGGATAATTGTCCTCGGAGGGGGGGGGGGGGGAGGGGGGACAGATTGTCCTAGGAGGGAATTTTCTGGGGTTAATTGTCCTCTGGGTGTGATAGGCCTCGGGGGTGATAGTCCTCGGGGGTAATTGTCCTCGGGGGAGGGGGGGTAATTATCCTAGAACCGACTCAGAGGCCTAAAGTCTTACATCCTGTTAACCCTTTAGGCCTATATGAACTTGTCATTTTATTTCTATTCAAGTACTGCTGACATTTAGAATGGATATGACTAGAACAAAAAAGCATGTGAAAGATGTATGTTGTACTGTGCATATTGCATGTATTGTATACATTATAATAGGGTTTATTGTGAATATCTGTACTGTAAGTATAGATACTTTCAATCCTTATTGCTCCTAAACAAAAAATATTATATCTCTGAAACTTTTATATGTTTTAGTGAACATGTCAGAGATTGCATTTCATGAAAAATGTTGTCAAGGTTACGTGATCCACAAGGTCAATTTTAAGGTCAAATCTTAGGTCAAGAGGTCAAAGTACCCCAACATGTACGAATTTTCAAAATGACGGCAGATTTGGAATCCTTATTGAATACCCTTTCCAATAATACACATTTTGTGAAGATTGACCCATTAGGTCCCGAAATACAAGGGTTCAAAGGTAGGCCCGCCACCCCCATTTTTGAAAAAATCTCAAAATTTGGTTGGCCGTATCACCCAAACCCCTCACCCAATTGACCTAAAATTTGGGATTTGGTGCTGTGAGATCACACTCAACAAGTACACTAAGTTTCATCAAAATAAAAAATGGTCGGGTTAAGATTTTCAGATTTTTTGGGTGATTAGACATGGAATGACCCCACTGACATGTTCAACGGGTGACGCACTTCACACATAACTGACGCACACTCAGCATAGAACCACACATCAATTAGAAAAATCAACGAACATTTCAGTACAACTTGCAAGTTTGTACCTTAAAGGTATTACAAAGTTTTGGTATGGGGTCATGAATTTGTTTCAAATGAACATATTGAAAGCATATGCGTTCCTACAATATTCATTGGTCGTTGTCCCGGTTGAAATCGAAGGTATGAAATTATAAATAATAAACTCTTTATGTTGTATAGCTCCCTCTCAAGGTCAAGATATCAATTTAGCTATGAAACAATGTTTCTTGACTAAAATCGACCGTTTAGCTCTTCCCGTTTGGAAATTATATATCACATCTACATATTCTGAGATTATCATGGTCGCAGCTACCATTGTACGGCCGTAGGCGCTTTTGAAATTTATCAAAATTTACCGGGAGCATCGGTAAATTTTTATATACAATTTTTCTCGAAAACAGAAGTGTTTTAGGGGTTAATTTTTTTAGTGCTTATAATACATCCACAGGGGCATCCAAATATATCAAAATTGTAAAGATTCACTATCCACCCAATTTTCAAAATTTCCCAAAACTTTGTATTACCTTTAAATATGATGAAAATGAGAATTTTTCAAACTCAGTAAGACTTAAACTTAAGTGAAATAGTTAACCTTTAAAGAATGCTGAAAAAATCTGAACAAATACAAGGTTTGACTAAAATATCATGATTTTGGGATCATATCAAACAGAAAATTGCAAGCTTTCTCCTCGCACCAATATCTTATAACATTGAGCAAATGACAGCCAGCAATTGATAGCCAATCAGAAGGGCCCTTGAAGCAGGCGCCAATTTAGGAAAAATGAGGCTGAGACCGGATCAACGTAATGTAATGTAAGTCAACGTTGTAAGTCAAAATTGTAATTACTACCTCTTCGAAATGTGAACCAACCAGCTCCCTGGAGTTAATAAGAAAGATGATGACTATAACCTTATCAATCTTGAAGGAACATTTTGGTTCTCTGGAGCCTGGATCGAGTGTGGAGAATCAACTCATATCACATCTTACAGGGGGTTGGGGGGCATATCCCTTGCCAATAAGGTAATAATACTGGTGTCAATCTTGTACATTTATTTGTCGTCCGTATCTCCAGCACTCTGTATTACTGTAATCTTGTTTGATTGTGTAACATCTTTTTGTTGTCATTTTATTTGTAATTCTAGATTTCTTTGAAGCTAAACATGGAGGGAGTGCCGTCACCATCACATGACCCAGGTCAACCTGCTTCACTGACCCCATCAAATAGAATGGTAGAACTGTATGAGGCATCCGTAGATTTCACAGCTGGTGCTATAGGTATGATAAGATCTAGACTAGAAATAGAGTCTTTTAACAAAAAGATCAGAAAGTAGTCAAGGAAAGCAGGGGTAATAATATGATTGCAGGTCCCTCAGGGAGAACAGTATTAATACGGATGAGGCTGCCATGGGGATACGACATATTATGTTATTATCTATCAGTAGTAAGATGACTATTAATCTGTCATAGACTGTCATGAACATTACTGAAAGTTTAAGTGATCGATATTTAATAAGGGAAATATAAATGCTAATTTTCAGTTCAATTGAGGATTGTATTTCTGTTATGGTACAAATTAATCCCATACATTTCACTAATTTAAAGTAGTGTTAATGACTTGAATATCATGAATCAATGTTTAATTGGAGAGAAAAAGGGAACTTTGACATTTTTTATAAAACCTGATATGGATCATGCCTTGATGAGCCCTGAAGAGTTTGTCTGATTGAGACAAAATGTGACCTATATCCTGCTCTTTCTGTCATTCCATGTAAACTCGCCATGGTTACTATAGACCTGTATTGAAGTACTGTACTGTTTTTTGTTGGGGGGGGGGGGGTATGATGACTTTGTTTCTTGTCAGTATGACAGCATTACGACAGACGGTACCATGAACATGAAATTGTTCTCGCTTAAATTTGAAAAAACTTATTTAATGATGTTTCAAAAGTTGCTTTTTCATGGGGCCCTAAAAATACATCACAACTATATACAGTTGAAAAGGATAAATTACAACTAAAGTAGCATAAATACAGCAAATTAACATAACACATTATAAACAAATTCAATAAAATTGTAAAGATATATTACATACCGGTAATAAATAATCAATATAAAAAATGAAGCCAAAAAATTTGAGTAAGGATTTAAAAAAAGAGTTATATAGGTTATCTTCTGAGTCCTGACAGACTAAAAGAAATAAATATAGAAAGAAAAAGAGCAAGAGAAAGAAAAAAAAAGAGAAAAAAAAGAAGAAACAAAGAGAGAAAGAGAAGGACTGCGGAAGCTTAGGGATGGAGACACAATAACAAAGGAGGAAAGAGAGAAACTGGGAGTATTTTCAAATGGAAACTTGTTCTCTAAGACTATCCTGTCTTAATGGCAAGATGAATAAAATGCTTCCTTAGAGATAATTTGAAATTCTTTGATATGCCTACTTATATTATTTATTGTTATAATTTATAATTCTTGAACACCAATTGTCTCATATGATTTTTAATATGGAGGAAGTAAGTATATTTTAGTTAAACAAAAATAGTGGATAATATGTTTGTAAATGTTCTTTTGTTGTTTGTTTGTTACAGGTGGAGTAGCTTGCACATTTGTGGGACAACCATTTGACACAATCAAAGTGAAAATGCAGACATACCCTCAACTGTATCGGTCATCAATGCATTGTCTGAAAGACACTGTAGGTCGGGAAGGTGCTAGAGGTTTGTTTGAAGGTACCACTCCTGCTCTAGCAGCCATCGTTGGAGAAACAGCATGTCTATTTATGTGCTATGGACTCTGCCAAAAGGCTGTCTGCCAGGTTGTGGGTATAAAGCATGAGAGAGACTTGTCAAATGTTCAGAAGGCCTTTAGTGGGTCATGTGCAGCCTTCTTCTCATCACTGGTGCTATGTCCGACAGAGCTCATCAAATGCCGTATGCAAGCTATGAGTGAGATTATGTCAACGTCAGACTCTGTTATCAAAAAAGTGTAAGTTTCTTTTCCACACTGCTTTTCACTTTAATATCTCTAGATCTTGTAGTTCTGAATAGCATGAGCAGAGTGTAATTTCACTATTTTTAGTCTTAGTCTTATGCTACAGTCACAAAGGTTCGTACGAACTATAATTTCGTACGAATCTCCCTGTTTTTCCATTGTCTTCCCGAATTTACATTGTCTGAAAATCGTTTGTACGGCATTCGTAGCAGTTTGTTACGGCATTTTTGACCGAGGCTTTACTTAATCATTAAATGGTTTGATTACATGTCTCTCCTACTACTATATGTCTTGATTTATTATTCTTTGTGTACCTTCATTTATGATTTGGTATAGTGGGTTTTGTTTTTTACACTGCCTCCCTGTAACAAATGTTTTTAGCCACATGAAATGGTCTAAATATAAGAATCGATAGATAAACGAGTAAAAACCTATCCAATACTGATTGGTCAAAAATATTCTCTTACAAATTAAAAAAGTAACTTAATGATAAGATCCTTGTTGTGGTTCTATGGGTCCTATCTGACCCTTTCTGATTGCGTTGATGATGGTTGTCAAAAATGTTCAGTCATAAACCAAATGTTGAGTTGTGGCGATGTCAGACCTCTTAACTTTTTGTTACCCCCTTTTGTTTTTATATTTCTACAGAGGGCCATGGCAAGTTACTAAAGATCTTATCCGTAAAGATGGTCCGCTAGGCTTGTTTCAAGGTCTCACTAGTACATGGTTAAGAGAAATGCCGGGGTACTTTGCATTCTTCTTCGGTTATGAGATGAGCAAGACGTTACTTACACCACCTGGAAAAACAAAAGAAGATTTGAGTAAGTAGAAGCTATCTGTAGTCCAGTGGCTGTCTTCGGACTACGAACCACAAGGTGCAGGGTTCCAACCCTTGTCGCCATACTAATGTCCTTTGGCAAGACATTAATCTACATTTGCCACGCTCAACCCAGGTGATGTAAATGGGTACCTGGCAGGAATTAATTCCTTGAAATGCTAGAGCACTGTATGGCAGCCGTTCTAAAGCCAGGGTAATAATTTGGAGTGCCAGGAGTGTCACGTATGTGACAGACATGAGCGCTATACAAGAACCCACTATTATTACTATTATTATTATGACGGAACGCTGTGATGTGTTAAGTAGCAAATTACTATGTACACACTGATCATAAGGACTCCTATGAGTAGGCTTCGGTGTTACCTACCTGGTGCTTCTTAGGAAACATTGTGAAGGTCCAAACTATTAATCAGTCCATCTGGTATCTCCTGTTGCTCACTATGACAGGTTTTGCTAGGTTAACGGTAGCAGGTGGAATAGCAGGTGCATCTCTGTGGATAGCTATCTATCCCATTGATGTCGTCAAATCAAGAATTCAAGTCCAGTCTCTAGTAGGCAAGATGCCTGGTTTCCTTCCAACGTTAACCAAAATGCTCAAGGTCGAGGGTGAGTACTGGTATAGCTCTTAATTTTTCCTCATTAGTTTCTCCGTCAACAGAAGCTCAAATTTGATAGAAAGTGGCATTGAATTAAAATCAAATGATTGATAGCAACAAATTTGAGTCAGTTTTAAAAATCTAAAAAAAAGAGGAATTAAGTTTTGATTAGTTTTCATATTTTGTACAAAACATTGATTATCTCATTCAAATGCTATTACATCTTAATAATAGAAGCGTAAAAAGTGTTCAAAATATGAAGTCAATTTAATTTGAAAAATATGTAAAAGCCCTGTTAAACTATCACTTCGATCGATAACGCTACTAATGAACAACCATGCCTTTAACTTGAAACAAAGACAAATTCCTTGTTATTTCTTCTTTTTCTCAATATTTATTAAAGGTGTATCGTCGCTATTCAGCGGTGTCTATCCCTGCATTTTACGAGCTTTCCCAGCTAATGCTGCTATGCTGCTTGCATATGAAGTTAGTAGATCATGGATGAGGAACCATAGACCACATTGGATAGACCAATATTAGCACCAGATATAGACCAGGTCCTGCCATGTAATCATAGACCACATTGGATAGACCAATATTAGCACCAGATATAGACCAGGTCCTGCCATGCAATCATAGATCATATTAGATAGACCAACATCAGCACCACAAGGTACGGACTAGGTGCTGTCGTCAAATCAAAGACCACACCGGATAGACCAATGTTCATGCCACATCATGAAGGCCAAGTCATATCGCATAAAGTAAGATTGACTCTTGTTATATGCTGCGGACTGAACTATAGATTGCCACATTGTGTGGAGTATATGGTTCTGCACATTACGTATGTGACAAAACTTGACTTGTTGTGGTGTACTATTCAGTTAATAGACTTTTATGGTTTAAGGGTTAATAACTGTACTCATGTCACAAGCGCATACAATATGACGTAACTTATCTATCAATGTGTTTTTTTTTTAATTATGCACTTGCCTGTTATGCAGATGTAGACATTTTATTCAGGACAGAAAATAAGAAGATGTGATATCACTCACTGCCAAATTAACTGGACACAGATCGCCCTCTACGGCTAAATCTAGTAAGGCAATTTTAGAGCAATTGAATAATGTTTGGAATTGGATTGCACAGATTAATACTATTCATGCTGTATTTGGTAATAAGCAAGTTTCATATACAAGTAATATATATAAACTTTGGAATGGAATCAACAAATAATGTTATGATTGCTATATTTGGTCATAAGCAAGTGTAATTTACAATGAGTATATATATATATATATATAAACATTGGAGTTGGAATCAACAGAATATTTGGTATGAATTGAAGATGAAAGATTTATTTCTTTTCTTGTTTCGATGTGACCACCATTAGAACCGTCCATTAGTACCTCAGTTGAATGGTGTACATTTAGAATCCATGCATGCAACAGTTAGCTGAGCAAAAACATTTTCTCTAGTCCTAGTTTGCATTGCTTTGACTTTATCTTTAGCTGCCCGCAAGAGGCTTAACCGCTATGAATTGTCAATGGCAACAACAGCCTTCTTACTGCCTGTGATTTTCTGTCATCTAGATACAAAATGCTGTCAGAGTTGGCATTTGTATCATTATGTAAGCCCCAAATATTATGATATTTAATAATGTACAGGTTGAATTTTTACATCCATGTACATCGGGCTGTAATATATTTATATACCTCTCTTTAGAAATCTAGCCATCTGATTGGTCGAAATTGGAGTCGTGATTTTAGCCATTCCCATAAAGAATCGAACAATGCCAGTAATGGTTAATAGTTCATGAGTGAGATTCCCAAAAGATTCTGGGAACTGGAAAAATAGTAACATTTTGATGAGATCCCCGTTGGTTTAGGTGTTAAAACTTACTTTGTGCGAGCGCGGATACCATACAGTGCATATCGTCTGCGATTCCCAAATGATTGTAACATTCAGTCATCTTTCCAGCGAACATTTACAGATAGTGTCTCAGATTTTCTGTAATTTTTTAACTCAAGAAAAGGATACTGGCTCTCATAGCAGTCATTATATCTATAATATCAGGAAACTCTTAGTTTGTTGGAAATACAATATTCCCTAGTTAATAGATTAAGAGGACATAATATTTTGTTGGTATTGAATTGTTGCACTATTCAAAGATCTGAAATTAAATGAAATACTATAATTTTCATGTGATTCACTTTTACACGATGAAACCTTGCCCATCTAACACATGTATGTTTTTAATGTAACCCTCTTACATGTAGATGGATGTAAGTCCAGGTATCCCAATCAACTATTCAGATCACAGGTCAAATGTAATATGCACTGAAATACAGGTACTTTAGAGGATTATTTTCACCTTGCCACTGCAGCACAACTGAAATACTTGTGGAGGAAATTCTGCAGTGCTTTGCCACTTCAAGTGAGATATGATGTACCTTTTATTACATCTTTGTTACTCTGAAAGTTAGAACAAGTTATGTTAAGTTTCTTGAATCTTGACCAATACTGACCAAGGAGACACATTCACATTTTATCAGATTTGTTTGCTTGCTGGCTGCCCAACTTAGAATTTGATAATGATGTGTCAAGTACCATGGTAGAATTTAATTTTGATTAGTTATAATAATAGGCATTTGAAATTTTGTATGCCATCATATATTTGGAACATCTATTGTGAGTGGCATTGGGAAGGTTAAAGATCTAAACAAGGAGTGCTATATCCATGTGTCAAGCAAATAAAACAAATTATTACAACTTGCATGTGAAACTTTTGGGGGCTGTTGCAGTTTTTAATTCCACTGGTACTTTTTCTGTAAATTGTTTAGAAGCTATTTTGGAGGCTTGCTTCTTTAAGATAAATGAATAATTGTGTATCATTAGAACCTCTCTAAACAACCAATCTCCAAACATTTTCTTCCCCTCGCCCTCTCGGTGTTACTGAGGGTGTAGTTTATAGAAACAGCTTCCAAGGGGAGGGGGTAATTGTCTCAAGGGTACTAACTATCCTGGGGTAGTTATGACCGGGGGGGGGGGGGGGGGGGGGGGGGGGGGGTAGGTATGGTAGTACAGGGGTAGAACTTTGGGGAATAGGAATCCTCTGCATATAGAATGAATTCCAAAATAATGAGACATTATAAAACTTATTATTATAGATTCATTGATGAGATATTTTCTTCCTGAAATATACAGAATTTTTGTGATTTTTGGCTGAATTTCTTTTGGGAACAATCTAAAACTAGCTTTATGGAGGGGGGGGGGGGCGGTTTTGTTTTTATTTTTTATTTTCATTTTATACCAATGTTGTGTTGTCAGCTTCAATTTTTTTGCCTGTTCCAATTTTTTGGTGAGGATTTTTTTATTTTCTTTGATGAGTTTAGCAATAATTTTATCCCTTATCATAAGATTTTTGCATTAGGGGTGAACACAACAAGGAAAAGAAAAGTTTTACTAGAAAAAGCCTTTTGGGATAGTTCACTAAGGGAAAAATCAGGGGAGAAGGGGTAAAATCAGGTAGAAAAAAAAAACAGGAAAAAAAATATATAATCCGGAAACTGATTTAAATCAGGTAATTATCAGGGCTGTGTATAGCGCCAGCTCAACATATTTACATCCTTCAAAGTTTAACTTGAGCTGTGCAATTTTCTTTTATTTCTTGTTTTAATGTGATGTGAATGTGAGTATGGTACATGTTATTACAGAAGTGTCCAAGGAATGATACAACAGGTGGAAGGGATATAAAACAAATATACAAGGACTCATTCTCGGAACAAGCTAAAACTATTCGCACTCAGGAACATCAATAGTACTATTTAATGTTCCTTCGATTCGAAAAGTTTTAGCTAGATCCTTTAGTGTCATTGTATATTTGTTTTCTATGTTAAGACATGTAGATAAAGATATCAGAGCTCAAGGTTCTATATGATTGTTTTCTTTGGATTAATTGTGTTACTACAGTGCAGTATGGAGATAATGATTGGTCTCTTATATGAACAAGTATTTAGCTGATTTCTGTTTATCATGAAGGTGGAATCTGTTTTGTTATTTTTTAAAAACTCATATTCTTGCAAGTTATTTCCATATGAACATATAATACAGTGGCACTTTGTCATACCAAACTTGGTAGAAAAAAGAAAATTCCTTTGTTATGAATAAACCTTGTGATATCAGGGCCTATAGATATGAAGCAATGGAATTCAAAGATTTATTGACAGACAAAATCACTTTCTTATATGACAGTGTGATATAACAGAGTTCTTTACGAGGTCCCACTCAACTTCCGTGCCATTTATGCTGCCAGAATGAAATATTACTTACAAGAAATATCCTTCATATTGTAGTAGTTAAAGTTTGTCATACATTTATCATGCCAACACAAAACTTTTGTTTTAAACGTATGAAATATTGTTTACAGGAGAACATCCCTCAAAATTAAAAGTATAACAGTTTGTTATACATATCTACGTTATTATTCTTCATGCCAAAAAAATTGACTGAATTTTTAATTGTTTTTTCCAAGTAAATAACCAAATAAATGCATTACGGTAGCATAAATGTTGATCATTTTACATGAAAATGGTATTCAATGTAGGTACTTTCTGTATTTTTTTCTTGTTTTTACTTTTGAGATATTTGAGACGTCTCCTTTTAGAATAGTGGTCTTGGATTCTGATGGTGCACTTGTTGCATTTTGAAAGAAAAATTGGCGCATATTTTAGGGTTGTTTTCACCACTGAAAACAAAACTGAATAACAAGAGTATGCTGCAAAATGTGCAAATATTGAACAAAATATTTTGTATGCATAGACATGATTTAGCCAGTGTACAATTATATTTTTACTATCATATGAGACTGATTGTGTTCATGTTTTTAAAGTCTTTATCACCAGAACTGAAGTATACCTTTAAAATGAGATCATGATTGGTATCTTTTTTTTCTTCAGACCAATCATGACCATGTTGGGAATATTAATATAATTAATACTGATAATCAATTACATTGTTTGAGGCTGCATTATATATGTCAGTTTCAGAGAAAATATGTCTATTTTTATGAATAATGAAGAATGCTGTGCTCTATATGATGAGATTTGAGTCATTTGAAAATTAAAAAATGAGATAAATATATAACTTGTTGTATGTTATTTCTTTTACAGTATTATTCAAGCCAGTACATTTAAGTAAAATGCATTGCCAATTCGGTATTAATTTCCTTTGCATCATGGAGAAATAATAAGTATAGATTGGAGGGGGGGGGGTGGAGGAAAGGGGTATTATGCATTCTTTAGGGGGATTTCTAATTATCTTATTGTATGGAATTTTGCATGCAATCGTGGAAAGCTATTTTTTATCTGGCTGCTATAGATCAGTGTATTCAGGCATCTCAAGATTCAAGATGTTGTTATATACATCAGGAAAGCATCTGACAAGTTGACATTAGCACAAATTTTCTCTCAAATAAAACACAGGTGTATTGCACACATGTGTCCGTTTCAAAGAATACATGACTGAACAAACGTCTCAAAATATGAAACAGTTGCTCTTTTCATTCATATCTGAAACTTGGAAATTTATTATATTCATAAATATAAATGGGAAGACATGAAGTTGTTTGATTTTAAATCCAATTCAACATGTGTCACTATTTAATATACAGTATATAAAAGGGGTGACTATTGCCAAATACAGTTATAATATCAAAAAGATTTCAGATAATTATCTGAGAACGTTAGCCTTTCCTATTTGAAGAACGTTACTGTCATATGCATACCTTCATATTGATTCTACTTCAAATAAATCATCCTACACATTTTATGATGTATCGCTGTTTAATTTCACAAACCAATAATTCTCTCCACCAGTAGTTTTCCTCAATATCTAAAGTTAAAAAAAAACAAGAAGATACACAATGTATATTGGTATAAAAGAAAATATACAAATGTTTCATTTAAGATATGAATTTTTCAATGTATAAAGTATTCATATAATACCCCCCCCCCCACTCTAAAATTGGTTCTACAATCTTTACACATTGAGTCACTGCTTGTGTCTTGCCAAGTTACATATTTTCTTAATTGTATAGCTAACCTGCAGTATGCTACACACAAATCTGTTATGTATTTACAATAAAATTAAATAAAGACTTGAGATTCTCTGATAAAAAAATATATTAAACAGAATAGAGAATTGCATTATGAATCAATCTCATTTGGAAGCATATAATATATTGCAATACTTTAAAAAAAAAATTATTGCACCATTAATAATACAATTTTGATCCAGCATATAATTAGCACACACTTCAAATTCAAAGATATAAACTTTGCTATCTATAATACATATTCACATACACATATGGTCCTGTCAAACGACCCATTAAAAAAAACAGAAGTGTATTAATAGTTCTAACAATCATATGAATAAAGAACAGTCATAAAATTCTACCTTAAAATACTCTGAACAATAAATAATAGCATTCTCCACCTTGCATGATGTTGTGCACATTCTTTCCTATCTCAGTACAATATTATTTGCATACACTTTACACATATACACAATCAAAAATTTCTCTATGAATTTTGTAGGAAATTATAAATGGGCAACCAGATTTGTAGCCAGACTTTCAGTCTTACTCTTCTTGTAAAACCAGATACTAGCTCCTGTGACAAGAAACTTTCTTAAATTGTTATGGTTGGCCATTCCCATGTAAAGAAACTTTCATAAATTGCAAATAATTAGCTTTGGGTCAGTTATGATTGGATGAATTGACAGCATGGAAATTCCATGAATCTTAATCACTTACAAATCTCTTGAATATTTCATGCATGTGAAAGTTTCTAGTTTTACAGTAGATAAATGAAGAAAAAAAGTTGGCATATCTTCATGTTACAAACAGCAAATTGCTTGACTGAGTTCTGCAAGTTTGCAAGTGCATATTATCATCAATTCAAGGCTTTATAGCAATTTGGTATTCCTCTCATAATCTTTAACTCGCAGAAAAACAGCATATTTCAATACACTTTTAAAAACCCTGTAGGGTGATTCTGATCGACTTCACATATCAAATACTTTACCTCTGTGGAATTGACAGTTAAATAATAATGGAATGATTTTCTTATTTTTGTCATACTTTCTTATTTCTCTTACAAAATATCAGAACTATAAAGCATTTCATCTTATTACATATGCACTAGAAGTGAGTAGATTTGACAACTTAACATGAGTTGCCTTCGCTCATTCCTACTTAAACCAGTAATGTTAGGCAATAGCAGCATAATGACAAAACTCGGGATAGATCAAAACCAAAACATATTGTTAGATCTAAAAGATGAAGTTTACAAAACCTTCCTTTAAAATATAGTACAAATAATGCATGTGAATCAATGGTATTTTTGTATGTTTTAAAGAAAAAGAGGGCTCGCATGCCTCTGGGCAACAGTCACTATGAACATGACAGACAATGAAAGCGGACAAAATATACAGATCCTCAGGTAGACAAAGGAACATCCCTTCACTGCTATTATGTAAAAATGTGTAGAACAGGTGAATATGCATGTGACTTTCATTGTCTGTCATGTTCATAGTGAGTGAAGATTTCACTTTTGCAAACCCTGGCCCATAGGTGACCATTTTTCCCTCTTCTTCTTGCTTCTCATTTATTTCTCTTTCTCTATTATTTCTAAGATAATTGTATTTATCATGTTTACTTTGTATATATACTGTGAATTTCTGATTTTTATGGCCGAATAAATAATAATAATAATAATAAACAAGCCAGCACTCAATATAGCCTTTAATCTTAACTTTTTACAGCATCTGAGATTTGCAAATTATTCCATTTTACTCTAAGAAATAGTGTTCATGTTATACATAGAATGTCTAATACGACATAAACTTGACATACTCTGTAACAGATTGAGTTGATCAAACTCAATCAAGTTGAGCAAATGTGACTAGAAGGGGCAAAATATCCTCCAGCTCCTGGCTTTGCTGTCCCAGCTATTAAGCCCCACTGTCCTACTTGTAGCTACCTGCTCCCTCTATATAGAAAACTTCCCCAATCGGTGCCTGTTGGTCCCCCATGATCCTCTTTTTCTTATGTTAGTTGAGAGCTGAGTTAATGAGATAGCCACCTGTCAGTGACCTCGCTGTGTGGTCTAATCCCTTCTGGCCCAGTAGTATTGACGGTCTTTAAAGCAAGCAGCTCGTAGCAGATCACACAACAATGAAATAGAACCTGAACAGAGCAATGTTCAATGTGAAGATGCAAACGATAGAGTAAAGGGACAACAGAGTTCATAGCAGATCTAGCAGATGGATTCTGTCTTTATTTCGCTGAACTGAACCTCTACGTTAAATGATTCGCTGTATATCTTCTTTGCTTTGCTCTTGTGTGGGTTATCAAGCTCATCTCGTGGAAGAAACAACCTGGAAAAAAACAATGAAACCGTTGAAATTTAGATCCTCTCTACATCTAAGTAAATTTAAGGCTCAACAATAAATGATTATCACCAAGGTTCCCATCAAAATACAGATATTTAGATCCCAAACTGTAATATAATAAGTTTTATACTATTTTAGACTTGAGAGAAATGATGCCTGCAGGAAGGAAATGCAGCCTTTTGCACCCTACCCCAAACCAAACAAGAGGAAAACATAATAACTCACATCTCAAGGATGATTCCTACCTATTATCTGTTATGAATGCTGTATGGAACCAGAAGAAGAAAGCACAGTTATCATAGTCCTCTGGTACTTTCTGTAGGAATTGAAAAATACAAGATAATAGTTAGACTTTGATACATGTTTATTCGCACACTTGACATTATATACATTGGGAATATTCATTAAAATGTTGGTAAGAAAACCTTTTTTGGACATTCTTATTATAGCCCACATGCACATGGTGATGACACGATAAAGTAAGTTCAGATTCATTCATTATAATCTCTCAAAGATAAGATGCGAAAGCAGTTTTTTAAGACTGCAAAACCTTCAAAGATGCTGAGATAGATAAATTTGTAAAATGCACTATATACATGCTCCAAGTCATAATCTGAATGAATTAATTTAGAAATAAGTGCTTTAACACAAAAGTGTCATAGAAAGAAAATGAGAGTTTCAGTTTGGTGAATGAGTATTATGCGAAAGACTGGTCGATTGTAGGAGTACTCCTCACCCTACTTGATGATTTAAATCTAATTTTGACATCTCCATGAAGCACCGGACAGTGCGGGATACGAGCTGATAGACTGTCTGAAGCATGATCATATATACTCTGAAGAAGAGAAAAAAATATAGTAAAAAGAGAATAAATAATATCAGATATGCTACTGTACTAATATTCTAGAATCACTGTACTTGCCACACTATAAAAAAAGCAAATTTAAAAGCTTGTCAATTTATCGATCAAAATTAAGTACCAGGTAAATGTTTGTCAAGTTAAAATTGATATTCAAATATGCAGACATTATATACAGTAATTGATGGATCACATACAATGGAGGTGTCATGGTCTAGTGGATATGTCGCCACACTGTGGATCATATGGTTTACTGCTGCACTAATATCCTTATAGGCAAGATATCAATCCACACTCGACCCAGGTGAGGTAAATGGGTACCTGGCAGGAAATAATTCCTTGAAATGCTAGAGCCATGTACTGGCAGCCATGCTAAAGCCAGGGTAATAAAAAGGAGTGTCAAGTTTGACAGATATGAGCGCTATACAAGAACTCAGAATTATTATAATTATAATGAGATTCGAGGAACAAAACCCTACCTGAACAGTATGCCCCTAATAAGGCCTTTCATCTAGTAGACTAGCTCTCTCAGGATTCACTCCTTGAAACATACCATTTCTCTCGCCAAGTATTACAGTTTATTCATAGAGGAGATGATTTACTTGCCTCTCATTCTTTAAATGCTCCTTACAATAAAGAAGTACTTGTTGTTAGAGTCATTGTTACTTTCCAACAAAATATCAATTATTTTGACTTTGCATAGCTATCACTTCAATTAAAAGGCTTGTTATTCTGTTATACGTTATATAAAACATAAAATTCACATCATTTGCAAAGGAGACCGTCTCACGAGTACGTTTCTATCCATGTATAGGCTTAACAAACAATTTTGATATATCTGATTGGATGTGATAAACTAACCTGACAGTTTAGCCCATTCTCAAATCTACAGTCAAAGACCTTTTTGTTGCTACAGATGATTTCAAAATACAGATCTCTGCCATCTCCTTTCCCTAAACCTGTTGAGAAAATTAGCATCGGTTTAGTATAAAGACAATAATTAAACTCTCAGTTCACATCTTAAAACTTTGTTATAATTTAGTAGGTACTTAAAGTATACCATCAACAAAAGACAAACTTTCATGATATAAAATGATGAAATGGATGAATGATAGTAACAAAAGAGAATGAAACATATCCAGATGCAACACATTCCAAAAGAAGAATTAATTTCTGTCGCCAAGAGAACAAGAATTATTTCACCAACTAGAATTAGCATTAATAATAATAATAATACATGAGATTTATATAGCGCCATTGTCCATTTTAATTAAATGCTCAAGGCGCTTCATTCCCAAAGAAGTTTAGACAATACTTGACAAATTTAAATCCAATTTTTTTTAGTATCAATTACTGAATACGTTAGGCATCATCATCATCATCATTTTTAAAGTCAGCATTTTCCATCTGACGACGAGTTACTAATTATCGTGCCGTCTACTTCTTCTTGTCTCGAGCATCCTCCTCATTTAGACCAACCTTGCTGCTTTCTTTCTTCCCAGTATCTTTCCGTGTAATCTTTGGTCTTCCTCTTTCTCTTATATGACATCTACTTCCTAATCTCACATCCTTTTCACAGGTTCACTATCTTCCCTTCTCAACTCATGACCCATCCATCTCAATCCACTTCTCTTTACCACTTCCATCACAGTTTCTTTCACACATAACCTTTCCTTGAGCTCACTTGCGTTCTTTCTATCGGACATTTTCACACCACACATATTCTGTATCATGGCACTTTCTGTCCTTTTTTTTAGAGCTGTTCTTTTCTTGGGATGAGAAATGTGGTATGGGTTATGAGATGGTCGAGTCTGGGAATTAATTGGAAAACCCTTTCAGTATGAATGATTATAATTCCAATGCGGTCTTACCTGCTAGATTTCTAATCCTGATATTCTCTATGATGAGATCCTTGGGTTCAGGAATCTGTCCTCCGTACTTGAATTTCACTTGCTCAAAGTAATGTACATAGCGACTCTGAGGAAAGAAAATAGGCATTACGAAGTGGGTGTCAAAGTGGGTGTCAATGTAACAACGTGGAAGCTAGATACCTAATATTGCAAAGTCTAAAGGATATCAATGATTGCCATTTACATGTACATCTGTGGTACCAAAACGGACAGAGGAGGAACTCTTTGACTGGTTAAACAAGACAATAAAACAAAAATACTAGAAAACAAAATTGATCTTATAGAACCTTGTTAAAGAAACCAGAGTCAACTCAAGGTAGTGTTACATACCTGGCTTGGTGTTTGAACTCCTTGGAATTTATCTCCTTCATCTAAATCAGTTCTTCTGCTTCCAAAGAAATCTAGACATTCCTGGAGGAAACACAAGGGGAGGAAGATATAGGCAAATCAACGAACTGGTTACAATACACATTATCATTGGTTCCTGTGATAGGTTTAACAATGATCAATTCAAACATCAAAATTAGAAGTGAGAGTTAGGATACCTTTGGGAGGGTGAACATATCTATAAGTAATTGCAAGAAATCACTCTTTTAACCTTTTCCCCTCAGCTTGACAGTGTTATGATGTATGATAAAATGGTCATATAATGCCTCTTAAAAAAAGTGAGTTCAAAGTTCTCTCTACATGCTCTTCATTATGAATTGCTGACACAATTTTTTCTTCTTCAAGTATTGTTTGGAAATGTAATACAAATTGTTTTATTTTGGACATGAGGAACCTGAAACTTAAACAAAGATACCGGTATATAGTATCCCAACCTTACTCACTTGAATATCAATCATACCTTTGCTGTTTGAAAGGCTTCACTCTCTAGTAACCAAGTACATACTGCTGTCCCTGTTCGACCTACAATTAAAATGTATGTGTAAAAACTGGTTTAATATACCAAGGTGTATCCTAAACATCACTGCTTGAATAAACAGACTTATGAATGTGAACTTTTTGATATTTCATAACTCACTTTCACTAAAGGCAATCACACTTTTTGTTCTATCCTCCACTTCATGCTTCATAGTTACTTGTTATAGAATACCTTTCAGAGTCTCTTGGAGATCATTTGACAAAAGCCTCAGATTTGATGTGTGGGGATGAATGACAATAGTAAAAAGCTATATCATCAACAACACATTCTAGCAAGTCAATGCATGTATATATGATCTATGATGTAGTTTTGTATGTCAATATTCTCCTTTCTTACTTTTAATCTCACTTTCTGTTTCATTATTTGATCAAAATGAAGACCAGGAATAGAACCCTAAGATTCCATCCTGACTGAGAAGACATAATTTCTCTTACCTTTCCCTCCTTTACAGTGAATAAACATGACATTTTTAGGATCTGCTTCCATCCACTCTTTAGCAATCTTACTGAATTTTAGCAACTCTCTGTGATAGAAGAAACAAGGAGAAAATTGAGATACACACATTTTCAATAAATACAAACCATGTTTATAAGGATATAATTGTACTATTACTGTTTATATAATCAAGGTGAACAACCCTCTTGGGTAATGGAGGGGGTAGAGTGATTATTATTATTTGTTTGTGTTGGATTGTTCTCTACTAATCAGCAGGGTGGCAGCGGTGGGATATTGCAGGACTTATTTACTCTCACTCTCTCTCACTCTCTCTCTCTCTCTCTCTTGTTTTCTCTCTCCCTCTCTCTCTCTTTCTTCCTCCTCTTCCCCTCCCCCACTCTCTCTCTCTCACTCCCTTCCTCCCTCTTCCCCTCTCCCACTCTCTCTCCCTTCCTCCCTCTTTCCTAGCTCTCCCACTCTCTCTTTCTCTCCCTTCCTCCCTCTTCCCCTCTCCCACTCTTTCTCTCTTTCTCTCCCTCTTCCCCTCTCTCCCTCTCTTTCTCTCTCTGCCTTCCTCACTCTTCCCCCTCTCTCTCTCTATCTCTCTCTCTCTCTCTCTCTCTCTCTCTCTCTTCCTTCCTCCCTTTTCCCATCTCCCACTCTCTTCAAGCCTTTACTACATGTACATATGTTAACAATACAATATATCAACTCACTCTAGCTTGGGTACATTATGATCATCAGTTTGGACTCTGATGACTTGATGGTTGAAATAAGACTCATCATAATGTCTCTCACCTTTAAAATAAACACAAATCAAAAATATATTCTTTAGATATAAATGTGATGTTTAAGTACTATTTCGGCTGATCTTGAATTATTGAATAAACTGATTTACTTGCACAAAACACCGTGATAAGCAGCAATGAAAGTAAGGATTAAGATACCTCAGCTAAAAAGATGACAAATATGCAAGTATGAACGATGTGTATTGTATTTCTTCAACCAATGAAGGATGGCATTGGAATCATGTTATGTTTATACTCAGCAGATTTCTGCTTCTAAGGGTCCTAAGTATTATATTGTATATTGTCATTGTAAATTGTTTTATGCTGGTTGTATAAAGAATTGAATTAAATTGATACGTTATGACTTCAATCTATCCCCAAAACAAGCTTGACTTAAAAATAATTACTAAAACAAAGATATTATTCTCTAAATTATGGCTCAATATGTTTAGCCAACACAGACTGATTATTTATGACAATCAAAGCATATATGTTTTTTAAAACAAAACTCAGCTTACTACAAAGATTGATGACTTTATAAAAGTTCTATAACAATCATGATTACCTTACTAAAAATATTGATTACATTATGTTACTCAGTGTTTGTGTAAAATAAAATGAATAAGTTACTACAAAGACTGACGACTATAAATAGTTCAGTGCTTGTGTTGACAAAATCAATAGCTTTGATGAAAAGATTGATGAACTTATGACAGCTTAATATGATAAAACGAATAACTTACTACAAAGATTGATGACTTTATAATGGTCTGGATGCTTGGTGTTGAGAAAGCGAGAGACTTCAGAGATTGGGTTCCTGTAGATTGACTGCTTGCCAGATGAGGGGAAGGATGATGCAATAATTCGATCTGAAAGATGACAGAAATTAAATAATATTACAGTGAATTCTGTCTATAAAAACCACCCAAGGGACGGAGACAAGAAAAGTGGTCTTTACAGGCAGGTGGTATTTATGTACCTATTCCTTCAGCTCATGTTTCAATGAGAAACATTTTCAAGGGAAACAAAAAATGTGGGCTCTGGAGACAGGTGGTCTTTCTATACAGGTGGTCTCTAAATCAGGTTTGACTGTACTACAAAACTCTATCCACACACACAAAAAGAGCATGGTTCAAGCACAAGGAACACTAAGCCTTAAATATAGATTGCTCTAGCTAAGCCATACAAGACAACAATAGCACTGAGTACGATGTTGTTATTTTTCATCTTTATTACAGTTTTTAGTCTTCATTGTAAAAACATGTGAGCCAATATAATGAAGTGAAAGAATGGTTCTCTGCCTAAGAGAAGAAAAGCCCTACAGTAATGAAGAGCCCAGTAGTTAGTCCTCTTTAGTAGCAATATGTACGCAACACATATCACTATATGGTAACCACCAGTCAGACAGACTACCAAACCAATAAAACAATTCTTAGTTTTTAAAAAGTCTTGACTTACCAGTGACATAGGTCAGGTCAAGATCAAAGCCATCTTGTAGATATCTTCTCTTATTTTCAGAGACCTGACAAATAAAAACAAAGAACCATAAAGCTAAAGAGATGGCTTTTTATTGGAATTTATGTGTGAGAGTTTACGAGAACAAATTGAAATACTATAAGTAGGAATCAATTAGGCAAATCTTAGTTCAAGGAGAGTGAAACAAAATTTCATTGTAATGCACTGAAAAGAATTATAGGAAAAGGGAGAGAGTACAATCTGAAAACATGGGGTGATTTATTGAATATAAAGACATCTTTGCTGATTTAAATTTCAAATTGGTGACAAAGATAGTCACATTACTTATAACAACCACAGTTATTAATAGTATACATTACTTTCAGTGCAAAGTACAGCACAATGTCCTCTTCTCCCTCCTATTGGAGTTAATCATCATCATCTTCATCATTTGAATAAGAATTATTCATGTGTAAGATATATCACTGACATGATTAGACCAAACTTTACTAATTGCTGTATGTTGTGATCATTGCTCCATACAATGATGAAAAGAAGTTAGATTGTAAACTCACCAATTTCCTGGAGGCCTTGGTTACATGTCTCCTTTCACTGATGAGTCTGCCAAACATCACTACTCTTAGTACACGACACACCATGATAATCCTGGCAATTAAACAGGAGGCAAAAGAATAACATCATTGGGAATACATCACAATAGAAATGGCATCAATAAAGGATTGATCACATGAGGCTGCACAGATGTAGGCAAATGATCATTTTCATAATGGCATGGATGACAAATAAACACAAAAAGGAAACAGTACTAATGTTTGAAAAATTAGCTCTAAGTAAACATGATATCCTTGTAAATCATGCAGTGACAACAGCTGGCTTCTGCCATGTATTAAGTGTAAAAGTCTTGCAATGCTACTGGAAAAAAAAAATTAAAAGACTATTTCAATAATGTAGAAACAATTCACAAACATGCATGACTGATGGTTGCACAATACATAAACAACTAGCATATTGCCAGATGTAGGCCATGTTTTTATATCATTCTCAACAAATTGTACACAGTCTATTGACTCCACACATATATCCATGTATGATCTGGCACAGTTTAATCTCAGATATATGTACACATACATGTAATGAATATACCAAATAATAGTAATGAATATGTCTAGCTATCAGGGGGTCACATGACTTTCAATCCCAGCAATCAGGTGATATTAATCACCAAGGCAATCAAAGCTTTCTGTGGTCAGTTTGAGTACTGACACTAGATACTGAACTGGGGGGGGGGGGGGGGGGGGGCGTTTCCTAAAGTGTTCGTAAACGCATGACTTTACAAATGACTTGTATATGAAGTGCCAGATAGGATGCCCAAAGTTTTTTCTGATATTTTCAATAACCTCAATTAAATTATGGCAAAAAATATATTTTGCATTCAAAATGGTTGTTATAATAAGAATGTTAATCTACATCTGCACAGTTCAACTTAATAAATAATAATGAATAATGATTGAGTATCCCATTTGGCTTTTCATATACAAGTCGTTCGTAAAGTCATGCATAATTTAACTTTAGGAACAGCTTTATGAAACACCCCCCAGTGCTGATACTAAACAACCAACCTGATGATTATTTGGACAATATTTGTATGTAAGAACATATGACCGTGTTTGCCTTCAATCAAGGTTTCTCATGATTTTGAATGGTGGGTGCCTGGGACACATGTGGGTGCTGTCAAAAAGAGACTACTTCTGATTCTGAAGAGTTTGTTTCTGTTATGTGGCAAGAGACCCCTGAAGGGTACACAATAGGTCAGAACTCTATTATAACAACTCATCAAAACAAAACAAAAACACTTTTTAATAAATGCATAGTCAGGCTTTCAATTATCAACTCACTAATAAGTACCACGGTATATAGAAATATCAGAAGAAAGCCATAAGCTGTAATGTTTAAAAATTTGTTTAAAGTGATGAGCAAAACTAAAAACTACAAATAAGAGAATCTACATTCTGTTGGATACCATGATTGTTAGAATGTGTCTGGTGATATATTCTAGTGATAATTATTAACCTAACACTTGGCAAACATCCAATAATCTCAAGCTGATAATCATCCTGATAAACTAGAGTATATTATAGTCCATATCTGTCTTCCTTGTTTCTGTTTTGCATTAAACTCAAAGGAGTGCGAGATGAATGGAATTAAATTAAGGTAATAATTAAGTGAAACTTAAAGTAGTTCAGCGTGCATAAATCAATTTTAAAAATATGCAAGGTTTAAAGATGAAAGTCATGAGTTTCGAATAGTCATTAACCAAAGTTGTGGAAATTAACAGTGTGTATATAGTAGTGAGTTATATATTCCTTTGATTAATTAAAAGGAAATGATTTGAAGGACTCCATGCAGGCATGCAGGCATTGGGGTGAGCCTGGGAAGCCAGGAAGTCTGGCTTCAGATCTCTGAGAATGTCTCACACGTGATTTAACTGATGCTGTCAGCTAGACTGAGTGACTGATAGACTATTGGGAGCATTTAAATAGCAGTGGCCTAGCTTCTTTCCTACCATATAAAGCAGGCTCTACAGACAGACTAAATGCAGACTATAGAGAGTAAAACTCTCATCTGACTGGCAGCAAGGGGAAGTGCTTTAGAAACTGGAAGTAGTAATTCTGACTAATCACTCAAAAATCTTCAACCATTGGGAATTTTCAAGTATTAAATTAAAAGATCAATGTTGGGAGTTGGGACAGTAAATATTTCTCCTCCATTTGACTACTGGATTTAGCTTATTAATATACAGATTCTTGTCAGTCAGATACAGATGCGTGGAAGACACTCTCAAAGACCACATACATGTTTCATAAAACTTGTTATCAATCAAAAGTTACAATAACATTAAATTACTCAAATTATAGAAGGTGATAGGCTGGGAACAAATTTGTTGTTATGGAGATGTTCTTGATTAGTTTTGTGAAACGGGGCATGGATTAGGCTGCTGAACTAAAAACAAAATTCTTAATAGGGTGCATATAGCCTTCTAGGCCTGTCTTCACTAGCTCCAGATTGCCAAATATCCAGCTATTTAAACTATCCCGATCCGCAAACTATCCAGCTAATTTGCGTCTTCATCAGCCCGAAGTTGCAATTAGCGGGATATTTGGTCGGGATTGTCATCCCAAGATATCTTGGGATAGTTTGCAAAATATCCCACTATTTGGCAAAATATCCAGCTTTTCATGTTTTTGTCCGGTGTGTCTTCACCAGAATGAAGACTCGCACTATGCGCGAACGCTGAGCAAATATCTCAAGCTAATTTCTCAAGGTCGAGTTTCATGTTTCGAGGTCGAATCTCGA